GGACCCGAAACGTTAACTCTGTTTTCTCCTCCACAGATGCTGCCAGACCTGCTGAGCTTTTCCAGCAACTTTGTTTTGGCTCCGAGTTCAGGAACTTGTTCTGTTCACTGCATAGCTGCTTTAAATTAAAGTTATGAAGAGCATCCATTCAAATTTATTCTGCTCTTAGAATTGAATTTTCAAGGTAGCGAACAAAAGTGCTACATTGACAGAAAATTAGAGAGATTCCTGCAATCCCACAAAATAATTGGTAAGAGTTGTGATCTTTCATGCTCAAGAGAATATTACGAGAATCGTGTCATTGGTATCATTCCAGTCTTGTACTCGACCTGCATCATTATACTGTAATGGTTTGCATAATGTTACATGGTTTTGCATCATGGATTTGTTAGCAGCTCATTGTACAGATGGAACAATTTAAAGCAATGCATCACAAGACAAAATTAAAACAATTTCTTTCATCCCAAGGTCAGTGTACCCTTTGAAAGCCAAGTACGTGATAGATACCGGAATCGATCAGATAGATTGCAAACGTTTCTCACACTCCTGTACGTTCTTACAGATAGATTAAAATGTAATTGAAAAAAGGTACTTTGTTGAATTGTCAAGTTCTTCACCACTGATAATAACAACAACAATGTGAAACTGCAATCTAAACCATGTATAAAAAAAACAAAATTCGATACCACATGTATTGTTTAGGCAAAAGGTGCAATGTCCTGACAGTTGTAAAGATAGTCAACTGGATTGTTATCAAAATCAACGTGGCTTCCATTTTTAAAAAAGATGGCACACACCAATAGCACACATTCAACTTAAAACAGTACAACAAAAGCTAAATAATACTGATAATAGTTATTGACCTGATGTCAGCTCTGTTAAATGTGATTTCTTCCAGTTGAACGTGGTAAGAAAGAACAAATAGGCAAGTTGTGTGATAGGGCAGATAGCGGGAGCGATCAAATTAGAAAGGAAATGGTGGTGTGTGTAGTTGGGGATGATAAAGGGACAAACAGCAAGTACAGAACAGATCACCGCAAGAACTGCAGATGCTGTAAATCAGGAAAAAAAACAAAGTTGCTGGAAAAGCTCAGCAGGTCTGGCAGCATCTGTGAAGGAAAAAACAGTGTTAACGTTTCGGGTCTGGTGACCTTTCCTCAGAAAGGATCACGATGCCTGGGCAGATGTCTCAGCCTTAAAATAGAGTTCAATAATTTTAGATCACCACATTACAAATTTTCTCAAAAAAAAAACCCCATACGCACACAGCCCTGGTAATGGCTCTGCTGCTGTCATTTACAACTACCCTGGATCACTTTTTCCCTTTCTTAATACCATAAGCACCCCTTTGTGCATTACTAAATTATCTCTTTTCTCATTTACACACTCCTGCCTGCTACCCTTTTAAGTAAGAGATAACAAGGTGTAGAGCTGGATGAAGACAGCAGGCCAAGCAGCATCAGAGGAGCAGGAAAGCTGACATCTCGGGTCTGGACACTTCTTCAGAAATTTTCTGAAGGAGGGTCCAGACCCGAAACGTCAGCCTTCCTGCTCCTCTGATGCTGCTTGGCCTGTGTTCGTCCAGCTCTACACCTTGTTATCTCAGATTCTCCAGCATCTGCAGTTCCTACTATCTCTGTAACCCTTTTAAATAACTTGCCTTTCATTCAAATCTTCTTTTTCTTGGGTATATAGTTTTTTAAATAAAAAAATCTACAAAATCCTTCCATAGATAACAGCGTGGAGCTGGAGGAACACAGCAGGCCAGGCAGCAGAGGAGCAGGAAAGGTGATGTTTCAGGTCTGGACCCTTCTTCAGAAATGGGGGATGGGGAATGGGTGGGGCTAGGGCAGGTAGGTGGGATGGTGATAGGAGAGTGCAGATAGGGAGTGGCGGGGATTAGTCAGTGAGGTGGGAGAGAAGATGGACAGGTCAAGGAGGCAGTGACGAGAGGGAGGGTTGGACATGGGATGAGACCGGGGGTGGAGAGATTTTGAAACTGGTAAAGTCCACATTGAGACCATCGGGCTGTAGGCTTCCAAGGCAGAATAGGTGCTGCTCCTCCAGTTTCCGGGTGGCGTCATTATGACACTGGAGGAGGCCCAGGATGGACATGTCGCCCAGGCAATGGGAGGGGAAGTTGAAGTGTTTTGCAACCAGGAGGTGTTGTCATTTGTCACGAACGGAGCATAGGTGCTCCACAAAGCGGTCTCCGAACTCCGCTTGGTCT